ACATCCACGTCAGTAGTTAAGGGTTAAGTAGATTGGCGAAGCAAATGGAAGAACACTTTTGAATTTAAATTGGTTGTCTTTGTACCGCTTGTCACTCTATACCACCTTCCCCTATATGTACATGTAATAGAAAGAAAGATCAATTTCCTTTTTAAGACTGATTTTAAGCAAGATACGGTTCTTCAAAGTGTCTTACTTTTAACGATTTCTGCTAAGTTGTACTAAATTTCTCATTATAACTATTTTTCTAGTACATTTAGGTACTTATGTGTCTTACTAGTATTTATTCTATACTTTGAAATAAACAATTGTAAAATATTCTAGTACTAACGGTAACCAAGATAAGATCAAATTAGGATGCTTGCAACGATTTGCATAAGTAGGTACCTATACCTAAATGTACAAGAAAAGAATCCAGTCGTCAGAAAAGAAAATGCCACTGAATCTCTAAAAAGCATACGAACAAGCCAAATTTTGCTGAGAATGTAAATTTTGAGACCCTGAAAAAGTTGCAAAAAAGTTTGTTACTCCTACTCCCGGGCTTACCCTTAAAACGCCCCTCGTTGGTACAAAAATGTTTCAGACAAGAAATTTAACTAAGATAATTTTGAACAAAAATGTGTATTAGCACTTTTTGTGTAAAATAAAATAAACCATTCTCTCAGAAACAGCGCTTGAAGCGACCAGCGATTTTGAATGCCAATTCAATTCTGCGCACGTGAAATCAATTTTTTAAATAAAATTTGTATTAACTCGACGGTAAAATTCGATAGTTTTTAAACAGACTGTCAATAAAATGTGTTTTAAAGTGAAGAGTTTCGTACGCGATTTTTGTATTTTGCCGTAAATAGCAAAAGTCGTTAAAAGTAGAAAATTGTGAAGAACAAAATATTAAATAAATAAAAAATTAAAATAAGTCCTAGAGCCTTCTACTGTAGATCATTTTAAAAATAATTATTTTTTCTATCTTGGTAATATCTTTCTAAAGCTGCGCAGAAAAAGTTATAGAACAATGTTGGCGAAAAAATAGGAAAAATATCCCAAAAATGGTGTGAGTGAAAAACTTTGGAAAATCGTATCTCGGATAGTGTGAATTCTAAATTCTAAATACTTCTACCAAGCGTCATTTTGAAGAAAAAGGATAGAGGTTTTTTTCTGTAAAGCAATGTCTATATACAGGGTGAGTCATGAGGAACTTTACATACTTCTACCATATGTAGAGTCCCTCAGGGAGCATATCATGTGGCCACTAAAAAATGTCAACTCCTCTTCTTTATTAATTAACAGGGTGATTTGTGTAATTGACCATTTATTTCATTTTACTGTAGTGTTTATACGGCTCATTTGATTTTTTTAATTTTTGCATGATACAGTACACTACTATCAAGCATTCGACTGGTATTAGCTAAACTAAAAAATTCCAGGACTGGCTTTGGAAAAATTAATTTAGGGATTCGTATTAAATATTACACCCTGTATATATATATTTTTTTAAATGCAATAAGTGATTTTCAAACTACATAAATAGCCAATGAAAACGACATATGCGACAATGTTGTCGCACTTTTATTAAATTTTTAGTGAACGATCAAATCTTACCAAAAATAGAACAACCATAATGAAGTATCAAATTATAAGGTATTAATTTAAACAAATGTTATAAATTTCAAACATTTTAATTAAAATGAGTTCCTACAACATAATCTAATACGTAGAAAATTAACATCTTTACTGTCACTTTGTATTATCTCTACGATAGAATCAATTGTTTTTCAATTTTAAATTTTTACTCATAGATCGTATTGGGGCATTATTTTCGATAAATAATAAATTAAATTGATTAAAAAGTCAAACCTCTTGTATGTGTTAGTTTTTGTTGATTGTAAATGATTAAAATTTTATGTCAAATAATAATACATTGCATCAACTGTACTAAATAAAAATAAATCTAAAAAAGTTTAAAATGAAGGTTGGCGTTGACCGTTTGACGTTTCTTGATATTTTATACCCATTGTCATTATTGTCATTATCAATTGTTATTTATGTGTACAAGAATACATATTTCTTCTGTCATATCTACGTTAAGTACATTGTGTTAGTTTTGGTAGAGCTTTTGTTACTTTCGTTCAAAATGCCACATCAGTTTTCGACCACAGAATATGCAGACATAATATTTGTTTATGGATTCTGTAATGGGAATGGTAGGGCTGCTAGTAGAGAATATCGCAGGAGATTTCCTAATCGTCGAACTCCCAGTCATCCAACATTTGGGTCAGTTTTTAATTATTTGCGAGAAAATGGCACTTTTCCTAGTGGAACAACAGAGCGACATGTAGATGAAGCGCAGGAAGATGACATTATGGACGCCGTTACTATGAACCCTACAATAAGCACTAGACAAGTAAGTCGAGAACTCAATGTTACTCAATCAAAAGTAAGTAGAGTCTTACAAAAAAATAATCTATACCCATATCACATTCAAATGGTTCAGCGACTACATGCTGGAGATGAGATCGATAGGTTGGAATTTTGTAGATGGATTAACAATAATCGACCAACGCTATACAGGACACTATTTACAGATGAAGCCCAATTTACCAGAGACGGGATAAATAATTCACGAAATTCACATGTGTGGGCAGAAGAAAATCCCCATGCTATTCGAGAACGTCGTTCTCAGTTAAGGTTTTCGGTTAACGTGTGGATTGGTGTCATAAATAACCAATTAGTAGGTCCTCACTTTTTTGATGGTCCTTTAACAGGGCAGGTCTATTTGAACTTTCTACAAAATATTTTGCCGAATTTGCTTGCCAACGCGAACGTTGCTATCCGAGGGATGTATTTTCAGCATGATGGGGCACCCCCACACTTTTTACTGGCAGTGAGACAACATCTCAATAATGTTTATGGCAACAGGTGGATAGGACGTGCAGGTCCTATTTCGTGGCCTTCAAGATCCCCTGATTTCAATCCCGTTGATTACCATATTTGGGGACGATTGAAGCAACTAGTTTACGCAGTGAATATTAATAACCGACAACAATTAATTGATAGAATTATACATTGTTGTAATACTATTAGAAACGATCCCAGAGTATCCGTAATTCAATACGTCAATTAACAATTCGGCAACAAAAATGTGTACATGCTGCAGGTTCCATTTCGAAAATCTATTTTGAATTATTTTATCTTGTTACCATTATTGTACCTTTTCCAGTTCTAATTTATGGGTTTATCATAACTATGTACATCTCAATAATGTTTATGGCAACAGGTGGATAGGACGTGCAGGTCCTATTTCGTGCCTTCAAGATCCCTGATTTCAATCCATTGATTGCCATATTTGGGGACGATTGAAGCAACTAGTTTACGAAGTGAATATTAATAACCGACAACAATTAATTGATAGAATTATACATTGTTGTAATACTATTAGAAACGATCCCCAGAGTATCCGTAATTCAATACGTCAATTAACAATTCGGCAACAAAAATGTGTACAGGCTGCAGGGTTCCATTTCGAAAATCTATTTTGAATTATTTTTATTTTGTTACCATTATTGTATCTTTTCCAGTTCTAATTTATGGGTTTATCATAACTATGTACATATTTTTAGTTTTTTTTTAAATTGTTCTTCGTTATTGTTAGTAGTTACTGTTTTTTGTTGTGCAGTGACTCAGTTTATCATTTCAATTAAAATGTTTGAAATTTATAACATTTGTTTAAATTAATTACCTTATAATTTGATACTTCATTATGGTTGTTCTATTTTTGGTAAGATTTGATCGTTCACTAAAAATTTAATAAAAGTGCGACAACATTGTCGCATATGTCGTTTTCATTGGCTATTTATGTAGTTTGAAAATCACTTATTGCATTTAAAAAAAATATATATACAGGGTGTAATATTTAATACGAATCCCTAAATTAATTTTTCCAAAGCCAGTCCTGGAATTTTTTAGTTTAGCTAATACCAGTCGAATGCTTGATAGTAGTGTACTGTATCATGCAAAAATTAAAAAAATCAAATGAGCCGTATAAACACTACAGTAAAATGAAATAAATGGTCAATTACACAAATCACCCTGTTAATTAATAAAGAAGAGGAGTTGACATTTTTTAGTGGCCACATGATATGCTCCCTGAGGGACTCTACATATGGTAGAAGTATGTAAAGTTCCTCATGACTCACCCTGTATACGTATATCGCCGTGGAAAAAATTATGGGACAAAAAAAGAAAAATTGCTTGTTTTCGTGTTTTTTTTGCTTCGTTTTTTGAAAATGTGTATTTGTCAAAAAACATTATTTTCACTGTTAAAGGTGACATTTAGATAGAAAATTTTATTTTGAACAACTTCTCTGTAGACGTACCTATGTGTACGAAAAATGTATAGAATTCACCATAATGCATGCGGACTAATTCACCCCTTTCTCAAAAACGCACCCCTTTAAATGGTAGCACTCTGTGGTTTTTTCATATTTGGGGGTCCATTGGTCCATATATGAAACAATAAAACCCCTTTAATGTTGTAGATCCTGTCTAAAGTATATAATCAATAGCCTTTATGTATATCAATTATTCTTCGGCAATCGGAACAGCATTTATTTTAGCTCAAAATTAGTGTTTGTAAAAAAGGAATCCTATAAATAAACACTTCTTTAGGCGTGATATTTTGTGAGACATTTTAAATTTGGGTAGTTAGTTTCTCAAAAAAACTACCTATTATTACTCTGAGGCTGAGGCTTTACTAAAAAATCTTTTTCCTCAATTGAAATAATATTCCTCATTTGCCTATGTCACAATAAATTTCGTCGTTTAGCAGTTCCATTTTTAAATGATTTTAGCAAATACATTATTATCCATCTACTTTAATATAGTTTACAAAATTTGCTTAAAATAAAAATACTAAATTAATAGCTTAAATAGTCTAAAATATATAATTCATGATACTATGAATAGTATCATGATATAATTTATAATTTAATATTCAATATGTCAAAACAATTTGAATTTTAGGTTAGAATCCTATCATTTGGTGTGATGAGCACGTTAAAGTTAAAACTTTAAAACTGTAAACTGTGAATTAAAATTATATGTTCACTCTGGATCTGCACCACGAGTTTAAAGTTTGAAGATGTATTCTAAATATGACTTTATCTGAGTAAGATTTAGCTGTTCAGCTGCTAATTAATTACTTTGTTAAAGTTAACCAAGATTACACCAAATTACACATTGCCAATTAGTAAAGGAAAATAAGATACTCTCTACAATGTTAACCAATTAACCAATGCAGATATAAAATAGTAATCTTAATCCTTATCAAAGATGATTTCTTTAAAGTGCTGACACCAATAATTATTATTATGTAAAAGGTCAAAAAGGTAACATCAAGTAACATGATTTATTATGCTAATAAATTTCAAAGTGTAATAATTTTATGATCTCTACTGGTCCTAAAGTAAATAATTAAGCGATAATTCAACATAGTTAAAATGTCATCTGGACGAAAATGTAAAAATTGTGGGGGCTCTGATATAGAAGTAGACCCAGCAAGAGGGGATGCTGTGTGTACAACATGTGGATCAGTACTAGAAGATAGTATTATAGTTGCAGAAATCCAATTTGAAGAAGGTGCACATGGTTCTACAAGTGCTATTGGACAATTTGTTGCTGCTGATTCTAAGGGAGGTGCTACAAAATTTGGAGCTTCTTTTCATGTTGGAGACAGTGTTGAATCTAGGGAAATTACCCTAAAGAAAGCAAGAAATGGCATCACACATTTATGTAACCAATTAAGACTGAATCAACATTGTATAGATACTGCTTGCAGTTTTTTTAAAATGGCTTTATCTAGAAATTTAACAAGAGGTAGAAGAAATACACATGTACATGCTGCTTGTGTTTACTTGACTTGCAGAACTGAAGGAACAGCACATTTACTCATAGATATCAGTGACATTCTACAAATTTGTTGTTATGAGCTTGGAAGAACATACCTTCGACTTTCTCAAGCACTGTGTATTAATATACCATCTGTAGACCCTTGCCTGTATATTTTAAGGTAAGTATTTTTTATATTGCTTCAGGCATTTAGTAATCTATTAGATATGATTTGTCTAAAAAAGTGTAACATTTTGTATATACTTATAGTATAGTATAGTATGGTATATGGTATAATATACTATGGTATAGTTGACAAATGTATCTAAAAAAGTTCTGTTGATAAATAATGATCATTTATTCTTATCACCATTTTTTATGTAAAATGAGAGAAAGATGACTTAGATTCGCAATCTTTTATATACAGTGACTCAAAGCTTAAATGATGCAGTAGCTACTTAATAAAACTAGCTTGTGTCATATAAGCTCTTTTTTTATTTTCAAATATACCATAATTAAATAACAATAAATATTGAATTATTTTATGTATGATTTTGATGTCACAGCTAAAATGATGTAAACTTTAAAGCAAGAAAATTAATGAAGAAAACAAACTTTTCGCATTGAAAAGTGATAGCTAATATTTTGTAGGTCCTTCTTCACTATTAACTACAGCCTGTAGTCTTTTAGGCATTGATTCGACCAACTTTCTTGTGGACTCTATAGAAATTGTGTCCCAATTTTCAGTTGTTTTTACTTTTAATTCATTTCTATTTGATATTGAGGCACTATTTATTTTATTTTGTAATGTCAACCACAACTTTTTAATAACAGTTAAATCTGGTGACTGGGTGGGTGTTTTAATGACATTTTGGCAATTATAAAGCAACGAAGTATGAACCTGATATGACTTGTGTTTTGGATTGTTGTCCTGATAAAACCAGTAATTGTTATTAATACCTAATTTTTGAGCACTAGTGGCGAAAGACTGCCGTAGAATATCCAAGTACATGTATTGCTTCATATTCCCTTCAATAAAATGTATGTTACCTACTCCTGCAGATCAATACACTCCCACATCATCATGCCACCTCCAACATGTTTTACCATAGCTTTCATATTTTTTAATTTTAGTTAGCATTTGGCTTTCTCCACACTGATATTTTTCTATCTGACTCAAACAAGTTTATTTTGGTTTCATTAGCAAATATTACTGAATTCCAAAAGTTCAAATCTTTGTTAATATGCTCCCTACTGGACACCAATCTAATATGCCTATTTCTTTGTTGGTAATAAAAGGATTATTTCTAGCAGTTCGGCCATGTAGGTTATTCTTTTGTAATATCCTTCTAATTGTTTCTGTGTTACATTGATTTCCAAACTGTCTTTTTACCTCATCTCGCAATTTTTGTGCACTTTTTGTATGACTATTTGCCATTTCTCTGAAAATCCATCTTTCCTATTTTTCGGTAAAAATATTATTTGTAGCTAACCTTGATTGATTTTCAACTTTATTTTAATTTCGCTAACATTAAAATATGTGCTGAAGTGTTGATGATCATTTATTTACCATTTTGGATGTGTCTCTTTGGCTATATCTATTTTTATGAAGAGTTATCATTACATTTCCCTCATTAATCCTAGTTTGGCGGCCCATTTTTAAATAATTTTGTTATTTGTTGATTAAATACTTTGAAATGTCAAATTAATCATAAAAATAAGTGCGATATGAATTTAATGCAACACCTACTTCGCCAATTTCAAATTGATAAGTTGTGTAATACTTCATCTTTAAAAAATGGCTTATGCTATGTTAGAAGACTTATAGTAATTTGATTTCAGTAAGTATGCAATTATTATCTAATAAATATTGAGCTGCCGGTACAAGCTAGTTTTATTGAGTAGTGACCTCATCATTTAAACTGTGAGCCATTGTATATACTTAATTTAAATATATGAGTTTCTAATTATGTCATTTTATGCAATATTAAATCAAATACATTATAAAAATAATATGTAGGATTATGTTTTTTGAATACTTTAAATAGCAAACCAAATAAATACATATTATGTAAAAGTAAATAAGTATATACACATTTAATGTGCTTGATGTTTCACACTTCCATTACTATATAGAAAAGAATTGATTTTATTGATACATTATTTATATTCTTCAATTGGTCAATAATAATTCATTTAAATGTTTGTAAATCCAGCAGCAAACTAGCTCAGCCTCTTTCCATTGCAGTTGGCCCAACTATTAAAATCATAGTTTTTTTTTGGTTACTATAAAAAATTATATGTACTAGCTGCTTTTGTTGGTTCTCAAGTTAATTAACATGAAACTTTCAATAACATCCAATAGGAAAAGCAATCTACTTAATTGGTTATTTTTATAAAATTTGACAATAATATCAAAAACTCAACAAATGTGTGTTTCCTCTCATTATCTAATCTAAGGTAATGTTGTTATTGTGATTGTGCTAGTACTGCAGATGGTTTTGAAAAATCAAATCACAACAATTGTCAATTACTGTCAGATACATTTAGAGAACATAGGTATAGAGCAAAGATTCTAGAATTTTTTTTGTTCATTCTGTCTATCATATTTTCATAAGGTTTTTATTTACCATTTCGAATTACATCCTAAAATCTTAATAAAAGAGAAGAGACAACTAAGGAAGATATGACCGAACACAAAGCAGCAGCAATATAAAATAAACTACAATAGAGTCACAAGATAGTTAAAAAATACAATAATAGAGCACAAAAACTCCTATGTTGCAAATATCTGCTAAATTTAACACCAACAGCACATACCAATTTTTTACTTTTAAGTGGGTGAGAGCAGATCAAGAAAAAGCAGAGATATTTGGAAAATATCTTGAAGAAGTTTTTCAACCTCTACCCTCTGTCAGTGCTGAAGAAGATGAAGCTATTTACAAAGGTCTAGGGACAATCCAAGAGCCAGGTGAGCAAATTAAACCAGTTACAAAAAGGAAGTAAAAAGTTCCATTAAATATAGATCAAAAACCTTATAACAGGAACTATCTTAAAAGAGTTACCAGAAAAAGGAATAGTTAGGATAACACAACTTTTCAATGCCTCACTAAGGGTCAAAATTGTACCAACTCAATATGGAAAATTGTTGATACAATAATGATTCATAAACTTGGTGAACCATCTCATGAACATACCTCTTATCATCCTATTAGTCTCTTACTGGTAATTGCCAAACTATTGGAGAAGCTAATAGCAACAAGACTTATCAAGATAGTAACTGATAATAATCTTTTCCCGGATCATCAGTTTGGTTTCAGAGAGAAGCATTCAACAATAGAACAAGTACATAGAGTCGTTGATATAGTGAGTAAAACTTTTGAGGAAAAAATACTGCTCTGCACTATTTCTTGACTTAAGTCAGGCTTTTGATAAAGTCTGGCATGAAGGTTACTCTTCCAAATAAAAATGAATGTTTGAGTCAATGTTTACTGTACTAAAATCATATTTATAAAGAAGATACTACTGTGTTAAATATGAATCAAAAATCTACCCTATATGATGTGGAGTCTCTGAAGGTAGTGTTCTGGGTCATATTATATTTGATATTTACTAAATATATCAATTCTACGTTATTCTGCTACGTTAGTCACAGTTAATAATACTGCAACAGCTACCAAATCTCTTCTTAGGCATATTAGGAACATTGAAAAGTGGACAAAGATATAGCACATAAAGATCAATGAATCTAAATCACAACTACTAAAGAAATAAATAACAAAGCAATTCCACAAGCTGAAAGCATTAAATATCTTGGAATGCACCTGGACAAAACTTTGACAATCATAATATAGACTAAACAACACAATCTATGAAAATGCCCATAGACCTTATAGCTGCAAAACATGCTATTAACTCTTACAAAATAAATGATCGTGAGTGAACACAAAACGAAAACACTCAAATCACAAGTGATGTTCGTGCTTATACTCATGGATCAAAAACACATGAGGGAGTAGAAAAAGGAGTTAATGGTCCCAACACCAAATGTAGGTATAGATATATGAAAATAGGGCAGCAGTGGTCTAACACACTGACACCTTTGCATATCTCTTATACTTCCCATTATCATTAAAGTTCCTCACTTAGTTTAGCATTCTTGATGGGATTCTACAGCCTACAGGGTAAAACCTGCTAATAGCCTGATGACTGAACTGAAACTTTTTCTGTTTGAAATCTATATAAATTTCAACTCATATCTGTATCAGTCGATCGGATAGCCAAGCGGGCTGGGCGGCTGGCTTCTCCTTCGCTTCAATGCGAGAGATGTCAGTTCAATCCCCTGCTCGGTGTACAGAAAACAAAAAAACTAACGCAGCAGTTTAAAATTCTAAATGAATCTACGGCTTACATGAATCAGCAGTACGGCAAGAGATAAGAGCTTGCGGCTCGGTGACACTCCTCCATAGATCCCTACCGGAAGGGCGTGTGCCGCCTAAATACCGGGTATATATATATATATATATATATATATATATATATATATATATATATATATATATATATATATATATATATATATATATATATCTGTATCAGTTTTAGAAACTTCTGTTCACCAGGAGCTTGCTATTATTGGTTGAGCAGTCTTCTTTTTGTGCTATTGTAATTTGAAAATTTTGATCAGCCATCAGTATAGCTCACAGCAGAATATATAATACTTTCCCTGTAGGCCACCACCTGCTGCCGTCGCCCAATGGTAGCTTCAGCTAACGAGGATACAATAATCCTATTCATTAGATCCAATGTTGTCGATTGACAGATGAAGTAAGCGACCACACTTCTTCTAATCTCTTCAGTTATGGACTCTAATATTCTGTCTAATCCTGTCCCTACTGTAGGAGCTAGGAAATTTTCATTGATCCTAGGGTACTTATATGACTGAAATTTGTTAATATCCGAGGCCTCGTGATTTCAGCAGCCAGTTGCCAGTCTACCCAGAGAAGGCCTTCTGAACAGAACAAGCTGTACATAATTATCGCCAATACTGATTGATAAGCCTGGTAAATGCGTATGCGTCAAGTTCTTGTGTATCTTAGCACATACGGTTTCGACTTCCCCACATAACTTTCTCTACGGATATTTTTTATCTTTGCCGATCGCTTTTATTGTATTTTGTCAGTTTTTCTCCGTAATTATTCGACTCTTTGTTAGATTTGGCCTTATGGGCCTTATCAGTTTTCTTGATAAGCGGACTTGGACAGTTCCCCTATTTTGTAGGAGGTCGAACCGAATTTGTATGTGATCAGAACCTTAAGATTCCTTTGACATATACCAGTTCTGCATGATGTCAGATGTTTTTCCACTGCAAAATGTAATATTCCATATTTCTTTGTGAGTGGCTGAGACAAAAATTGGTTTATTTTCTATATTAGTAATTTCTAGACTCATACTTACATCCTACATACAATCTGAATCCGAAATACAATCCTAAAATGGATTGTATTAAAGACTTACGTCTCTGCTATTGATGTTGATGCTTTCATTCCCATATTAGGGATGAACACATTCCCATATTAGGATAACAAAAAGGTATTCTGGATTTAACGTATTTTTTGACAGTTTTATTTGTGGGCTTTCTTTGCCACTATTCTCTAGTAACTTAACAATGAATCCTACCTTTGTGAGGTTGTATATTTTTATATTTTAAAATTACAATCTTAGAGGCATCCAACAATTTAGCCTGTACGAGATCTTTGTAAGTCATTAAGTCTATGTCTTTATAGAGGAAACTCTGACGGTAACATAAATCCACGGACGGTAACAGCCGTGCCTTCTATAAGTGTTCCAGTTCTGGTGTTAATTTTTTTATTTTTTTTAAGAGGCTCACTCATTTAGCTCCCATGGAGAGCAAGCAAAATAATTGGTCTACTTGAGGTAGAGCCCTTCATGCCAGAGTAGGGCTAAACCACAATAGGATGTTGCCTAATTTTTGGAAACCCCTGTTTAGTTTTACCTATTACATTTACAAATATTGTTTTCATAGCTACTTCATTGGTTTGTTTACTATTTTTTATAGGTTCGTCGTTGTGCTTTCTTTTTCGGTCTGTTATTTTTAATGTTTTTAAAACTTTTATACTCTAGATATATCTAATTATTCCCATTAAGTATTTATTTATGTAATTATAAAAGAAAATTATCTAAAATTTAGCTTATATATTTGATATTATGATTACAGGTTTGCATCAAAAATGCAATTTGGAACCAAAACCCAACAAGTAGCCAATACAGCCCTAAGGTTAGTCCAAAGAATGAAAAGGGATTCAATTCATTCCGGTAGACGACCTTCAGGTTTGTGTGGAGCAGCCTTATTAATGGCAGGTAGACTTCATGAATTTAACAGATCTCCTGGTGATATAGTTAAAATAGTGAAGGTACATGAATCTACACTTAGAAAAAGGTTGATGGAGTTTCGTGAAACACCAAGTAGTGCATTAACGTTGGAAGAATTTATGACCGTTGACCTAGAGGAAGAACAAGATCCACCATCGTTTAAAGCAGCTAGAAGAAAAGATAAAGAGCGACTGCAGAAACTATCAGAGGAGGATGTTGAACATTTTACTGATCTACAAAAGGAAATAGAGTTACAATTGGAAAATAAAAGAAAAAGTTTGTTACTTTCAACAAAGTCCAGGCCCAAAGTAGATGAAGAACTAGAAACAAATATGTTTATTAACGAGTCAACATTGGGTACTATAGAGAACATAATACATCAAGTTTCAGATACAACTGAACCAGAGAAGGGATTAGGACCAGATATCTCTAGTATAGGTAAATAGATGTTTATTGTTATTTTGGATTATTTTGTATTAAATCTGGGTACAGTTGGTCTTCTTAAGATATCTATTAAAATAATTTACTTCAGTCTTTGTGACTTATCATATATTTGTTTTCACTTATTTTTAAATAGTGGATTTTTTATGTTAGCTTTTTCCTTGTTGCTTTTAATACCGGTTGGTAGTTCGTCTTCAAAAGAAGTGCCCTTGACATGAAGTTGTAGCTTTTGTTTGTTTTTTAGATGTTTTTGTGTTGCTTTTCTAAAAATACCCTTTTATGTTGTAATGTTTTTATTTAAAAATTTTAAATGTTTTTTAACGTATTTTAAGACAATGTTCACTACAAGAACTAACTGAACATTTTCAATGTGCTGATGAAGGTGGCAGTCTATCACCGAAAATTTCACATTTAGAATAGTTCTTCACCAAACGGGCTTATACCATCTTTAGCTCCTTCACCTGACGCTTTCCCGAAGGTTACCTGCCAAAGAAGTGTATTCTTAGCGTCGTTTATATATATATATATATATATATATATATATATATATATATATATATATATATATATATATATATATATATATTCATACATGTATGTATGTTATGTAATGTATATATATATATATATATATATATATACATTACATAACTTACATACATAATACATAATTCTTTTTTTGTTACAGGCTTACCAAATTCTTTAGAGGATACATCTAATGCTTACCAACCTCCAGAACAATTACAGCTAGATATGAATTTTGACGATTTAGATGACGACGAGCTAGACACATATATAATGACTGACAATGAAGTACACAATAAGAAAACAATGTGGTATAGACGGAATGCTACTTACTTAGAAGAACAAAAAATAAAAGCAGAAAAGATACAAAAGGAACGGGAAGAGGGCAAGCCCGAAAAAAAGAGAAAACGAGCTACCAGAAAAAAGACTGTAGGGCCAGCAAATTCAGCGGGGGAAGCCATAGAAAAGATTCTACAAGAAAAGAAAGTATCAACAAAGATCAATTATGATGTTCTTAAAAGTCTAAATGTTGCAACTATTCAGAATGAAGCTGTTATTGTAGATGAAGAAGATTCGGCTGCTACGTCAGAGTCTATAAAACGTAGAAGATTATCTTCAGTTTCTAATTATATTGAGCAAGCTCCGGAAAAGACGTCTAAGCGGAAGACAGGTACGTATTTCTATGAAGAATTGCATGTCTGATCATTAGTTTGTAGCCAATATAACATAATCAGGAGAATTATAAGAATATATTTAACAAATCTCAGGTAAAATATTGTTCATAGTTATTTATACAAGTAAAATGATAAATGAAAAGATATGGGAGCTCGTCATTGTTTCATTTTAAAAGAATTTTGTCTGATAATACAAACTTATATCTTCTATACTCTGTTTTTTAACCAGGAGGAGTAAACCAAAAAGACAGATTCACACTCAAGAAAGTTACTAGAAAAGTCACCAAATACATTTTCTTTTTTGTTGATTATCTCGGCCTTGCGGTAATCGAGTAATCAATATTGGACAACCTCACACGTCAATTTTAACCTAACTTCGTTTATTTTGTTTGAATAATAAAATAATTTTTTTTCAATTCACTTCCAATATATATTACAATTATTACAATAAAAAAGGACGTTTTTCACATTTGATCCCATGTGTATATATTTAAATATCGGGTGATCCAGTTTTATAGATCTCTTAAGTCTATGGTATTTAATTATAATTTAGAGAATATTTTGATCGGGAGAGTCAATAATGTTACAGATCTAAGTATGTTTTTTCTCAGAAATTTGTCTTTTAATAGTAGACCATATTCTTATTCTGGTATGATCAATTTCTTGAATCTAGTTTTTTTTCTTACCAGATACTTTGTATAAATAAGTGTACTTACAATTTCTTTAATGCTGGATTCTTGTTTAATTTTGACAGTGAGTTTGTCCCACTTGTTATCAACAAATAAAATTTACTAAAAAATACTGGATTTCTGTGAGATAATCAACAAATCCAATCTATTATGTTACATTCTTGCATAATTTTGCAGTTTTCTTGTGATGATCTACAACCAAGAAGAACAAAACCACAACTGTATCATACAATCAAACTAAAACACAACATTACTTTACTAATGTTCTTTTATTGTGATGAAAACAAAATGGAAATGCTTCCTAACAAGTATACACTGAATTTAAAAGATAGTTGCTGTTTTATGATAATTAGATATAAATAACACATTTATAAATTTATAAACACTTTAAACTATATTTAGTATAAATATCATCTAGAAAAATATCACATTAAATACTATTCGCATATCACCAAGTACAAGTTATTACAAACAACTTTAAACAGTCAGAAATCGATTTATATATTAGAGGAAAATAATAATAGAGAGTTTTTAGACCCTTTACTTTTCAATGGACGTTAAAGGTAAAACGTTATACTTGTCATGCGCCTTGAATAATAAATAAGGGATAACGTTTTTTACTTAAAATAGTTTTTGAATCCGTTCAGAAATTAAGCTATGACAGATTAACGGTAATTGACATTTGACGAACGTAACCTATAAAACGGCAGGTTGTTATTTATACTGTGACGTTATACTCTATAACCTATTTTATTTGAAAATTTGCTATAATCTAAGAAAATAGACGACGAAGACACAGAGAAACAATTGAAGAGAAAAATGCTGAACTAAATTTTCTATTTTTTGTCTTTTTATCTTTGGTTCTGCTCTTAGACAAGGAAAGAGAGCTGCTCATATGACTCTTTTTTTTTGTTTTTTATGATTTAGATATCTGGCATTTGACAACATTACAAACACGTAATCCCTTAATAACGTTAACCTTATCTTTACCTAAATAAGGGAATATCTTATCCGCTAATAAAGTAATCCGTTATTTTTCTGTTAATGCGCATGAGCAGAATAACGTACAACGTTTAACGTTACTGAAATAAGGGGCTTAAAAACTCTCTAATAATAAATAAATTTTACAAATGTCATTAGTGTCAATATGTCATAATTTAGTGGAGTAAACTTGCCTGCGGTTGGACTAATTGCAAACAAACATTACGGCGCGGAAAATTTGAATTACTCCTCCTGGTTAAAAAACAGACCATAATGGTGTATTTTTTTATGCTTTTAAAACCTGTAATAATTTTCACGCGATTCATTGCGTAGCTCGATTATACTATGTCTTCTCCAAAAATATCTACTTGTTCTTTAATTGTGTTTTATTTCGATTGTTCCTTTTATTTAATCGGAATGTCTTGTATTGGACTATATATATACGACCATTTTTAAATGAAATTTGTCAATTTTCTATATTTTTTTCCAATTATTTCTTTTTAAATGTAATTCCGACTCCTTCTTATCTACACCACTACGGCAGAATTTCATATTCAAGAGTTTTAACAATTCTGCTGTGTATTATTTTCAAAAATGGTTTAAGTGTGTGACTCAATAAAGCTGCTGTTCCGTGGTCTGAGTAGGATATTGCAATTGCCTTTTTGGGTGTTACCAGAGAGGTCGATTGCAGCCATTGTCTGGGGACTGTGGCAGCCTGATATATTAGATTAAAGAGTTCAACCATTACATCAATAACATCATCAATGAATTTTAATAATTCGATGGGTACATCATCTGGTCCGGTAGCTTTGCCCCCTCTTTCGTGTTTTTGATTGCATAGATGACTTCTTCCCGTAATATTGGTGGTCCGGTATCCTCTGTGGTTTCTAATGATAGTTAGTCTCTTTCATCATTAAATAGCTTTTAGATGTAATTAATCATTTTTAAGGATATTCGTTCTTGCGCTTTTTCTAGAACCTGTTATTTCTGTGACTTTTTTGTGTAAATTAAAGCTATTATACTTTTTATCCAGATCTTCTATTTCCTTGCATCTGTCGGAGAGCCACCTCTCTTTTGCTTCTCGAATTTTCTTTTTGATGTTTTTCTGAATTTCTTTGTTGGTGTTGGTATATTCTTATTGCTAACTTCTTCCAGTAATGGTAGGTACACACCGTAGGCCTTATGATGTGTCATCCATGTAAGATAATACATACTGTGAAAAATCTACATTTTACATTATTTAAAAATTTTCAAATCGGTATGATATATCATCCAAGTATAACGGGTTGCTTACTTTGACGTTATTGTTGGTTTTTTTTAATTGATAACAACGCCTTTTGTATGAAAAACATTTAATTAAATTTCAGCCTTCGATGTGTTTGTTCAAGATACCAATTTGCTTGGATCTAAAGTTTAAACATTTAATACTCAATATTTAGGTTTTTTACCTAATTCCCTCAAATGTGAATCAGATGTGAGAAACTGTAGTTAATTTTTATTTATTTTTAATCTAAAATACATAATTTACTTTTTTTAGGTACTACTGTTGGTCTTCCAGTATTCGAAGAGACGAATACAAAAACAGTAAACTCTGCCAAAAATGTAGTTCCAGCAGAATCGGCCAAAAAGGATGATATGTCTGAAGAAGAGGAAGAATACTACGATGAAGAGCAAGTCGAAGGAGGTGAAGAAGCTAACAATGAAATGGGAGTTCTTCAAATGCTTCGGCAACATAGAGAAGATGAAGACGAAGCCGATTACGGATATAATTATTTTGAAGAAGCTGACTATTAGTATTATTCCAGGCAAAATGCAGTGCATTTAGAATTATACTCAAAACTTAAGTATCGTGTAAAAAATCGTACCTATATTTATGTATAAATATTTTGGAACTTTTAAAGTAAAACAAAAATCTGCCTGAAATTGAACGCTTTAAATTACTCTGAAACTGATTTCTTATTACGGATATTAGTTCCGTAGTCAATCTTGTAAAAACTCTCGAGTCTATATATTTTGGTTACTTGGTATTTGCAAAAAGGATTTACCAGATTTCATTCATATTTTTCGAAATATGCTCATTTTATGCAACATCAGTAGTTAACCATAATATTTAAGTAATAACACAATAATTTGTTTTGATCTCTGATAGCTTACAATCTATTAGGTGAATACTGATTAATTCATATTCATTTTTTCTGGCCCTTTTTCTATTTATTTATGGATCTTAAAATGTTTATTTGAAATTTTTACTATATTGTTAAAAAGAGGAGAATATTGAGCAAAAAATACATTACTTTTATTAGCGTTATTAATATTTTATTGCAAAATTGTAAAATTTTATGGGCAAAGTTTACAAAAATCAGAAAATAACAATTGAGGGGGTCAGTCGTAAAAGGGTTTAAGTGCAGTTTTGATGGTTCTGAGATAATCAGCGTCAAAGTTGTTTGAGTTTTATAAATTCTAGGAATGATTAAACTAAAATATGTCTATTGTACAATGTTCTATAAAATGATAAAAATATAAGGGTATATTATTACTTTTACTACATCCTTTATGTTTTTCAATTATTAAAAAAATGTACTTGAATCGGGACATGGTGTTTATAAATGTTGCTGGTAAAACGGTTCAAGTGCAGATGTTTATTACTATTACTAATCATTTTTTAAGTATTCAACTAAACTTTATTTTGTAAACTTTTAAGTACAATATCATTCGTAATCCGACTCTAAGAAAATATCTTCTTCGCCATCATTCCCGTCGGCGTCGTCTCTGCTGGCAGCTGATTTTGCTGATTCCAATTTTGCATCTGCCGTTGATGTTCCAGTATGTTTCAAATTTCGGTAAAAGGAGTGGTGACATAAGGGAATGTAGTCCAAGAGGCTTAGCAGATTTTTATATTTGGCATCCTTAATTGGTAGCGTCGTGTCATTAATAGGGTTCAATTTGGAGAGCTGAAAAGATGGACGTCCACTTTGTGCTTTTCCCATAGTACACATCCAAAACTCAATATCCTGGTTTAAAGTATGCTTGTACCTGAAAGCCAGTTTTTCTGTCTTAAAATATGCCAACCAGGAAATTCTGCGCCAATCTATTCTCTGACCAATGGAATCCTTTTTAGGATCTTTATTTCATGTAGGATCGCAAACGAGTAAAAATCTTCTGTCGTCATGTTGTAAACCACAAACTTGAGGATGTATTTTTTATAACACGTTCCCAATCTGCTGTAACAAAAACTTGAGGAATTTGTCATTTTTTCTTTTCAATTAAACCAAAATTGCCGTCACACTCCATATAGGTGTGACCAGGTTCCAAGAAACTTGTGATGGATCTCGGTGCTATGAGTAGCTTGAACAATGAAGGAGAACAACTGTTTCATTCCATAAAAACATGTGAGTTTGTTCAGTAAGTAAGTTGTATATACAAAAATTGTACGTCCATAGTTGACGAAGGTAAAATACCTTGGTAGTTACTAGTGGTGTTGGCAATGTCTGTTGCAAATCGAAACAAATAACGACAGTATTTTCAATATTTTTGTGTTTTTCAATATCTAATTTTTTAGAATCGTTTGCTTTCTTAGTTTTTTTCTGGTGTAATTCTAAATTCCGTTTAACGTTTGAAATGGTTTCCTCATTTTCAGAATATTTTATCAAGTTTTGAAAATTGTCACAGCGACTACATGTATCACTATAAGGCTTGTGAAATTTCAAATTGAGCTCTGCGTTGAAGATAAATCGATAATATGATTCTTTCATAGGTTCTTCATGTTGTTCATTACAAAATGCTTATAAAGATTATACATCTTACTAATATTCAAATCGCCAGGAAGGTATTTAGTATTGAGATTGTCTTTTCTTGAATAATGGCTCTGATACTTTGGAAACATCTTAATGTGGTAAATCACCATATTTTTGGATGATTGTTTAATTTTGTTTGGGGGTTCTTTCTTCCCTCGTTTACCAGATTCACTTATTCCGAAGTCTGATATTTTTGAGCAAACAACCTGAATTCTGCACACAGAAATGTCAAAAGTACGTAAGAAAAACGTTTTGCAGACACGTTTTCCGATCAGAGTTATTATTGTGCTGTAGTTTTTCTTTTTAGAAGCTTCTTCGTTGGGTCGTGCTTGGCCAACCTTTGTTATACAGGCGGAGAGAAACGCTGTTTGCAGATCGTATGAAGGTAATCCACAAAATGTTTGGAATATTTTGCGTCTTTCAGTTTCATTAATGCTCTCGTTGAAATTGAATCGACATACATAGTTATAGACTTTCAGTTCTCTGGCTTTCTGTGGTTTATTTTTTCGTCCGACATAGGCTTTCCCTTCAGTTCGCATTTATCCTCGTCGGTTTGGAAAGGATCGGATTCTTCTGCAAAAAATACGAAACATTCAATTTGATAGAAAACCGTAGTGCTGGTGCGTGGCAGTGGCGGATCTAAACCTTAGGATGCAAATTTGCCTTAGAGGGGGGAACTTTCAATGAAACACCAACCGAAAGACATAAAAATATACCAAAATTACATAAAAGATATCAGTAATACCTTATATGTATTAAGTTCCCTTAATTTTCCTTACTAACGTGATTGTTGGGTTGAATTTGTCTGCCTGTGGTATAAATTCCATGTCAGCTAATATATTTCTGTTTCAACAATTATTTCTTTAATTTTGGACCTTGTTAGGGGCGGAAATTTCCCAATTTTCCCTCCCCATAGATCCGGCACTGATGCGTGTACATTTTATTATTTTAATTTTTGTTTTCAACTTACAACAAAATATAACCTCTATTAAATTCGAAAATTAAATTTTATCATGGTAAGTAATTTGATTTAATTTACTTACCATCAGTCACCCGGCTGTTATTAAAAGTATAACTACAACTTGCACGTTGCATATTACTTAATTAGTCTTTAAAATTCGATACAAATTTAATATTTATTTACTTGAAAATAATCGTGTGTTTTACATGTGCTTTAACAGAATACTAAAAATAGTTTGGTGATAAAACGGTTCAAGCGCACATAAACCTGTTTACTACCAATGCAAACTGCAATCGTATTCATTAAATAAAATGTAATGGCGATAGATGGCGACTGTAGGGTGAAATATGCTTGAATCATTTTACCACCAAGTTATAATACCATTTAAATATGCGAATCTGTACTTAGACCATATTTTTAAAAAAGTGCACTTAACCCTTTCACTTCTAACCCCCTCATTTACAATTTACTGAAATGACATAAATCGTAAATATCAAAAAATAAAAGATAATAAAATAAACAATCAATTGCAAAATTTACGAAATTTTTACGAACTTATAAGTTGAAGTTGCTGCATATGATACCCAAATATAGATAAAAATACTTTAGTTACTTGAACATAAAGGTACTGTAATTTCTTAGTTATTCGTTACGAAACTCTACTAGAAATTTTACTTGCTTACTTATACTTATAGGCTTTTGTCATTTTCCGGAACTTGGGAAAAGATGTTGCATAATTAAAGTTGTAAAGGAAGATGGTTGTATAGTTTTTTTGCAGAATGTAATATAGATTTATTTACTGAGTGGACGGGATCGGTAAATAAACATCAGAGATTGAATTTCTGCTGGAGTATTCATAGGTCTTGCTGGAAGAACATGTAGGTGTTTACGAATTAAGCTTTATTTTACATATTACTTTATTATTATAAGCTTATTTTAGAATTAAGCTTTATTTTAGAACAGTTTCTAAAATATAAAAAGAAGGACGCGTTAAATTCCAGTGATTTTTTAATTAGTTTTTGCAATGTGTTGTTCTTCTGAGGCCAAACAAACCGTTTTACCCTTTTTTTAAAAAAGGAAGACCATATCGAAAATAAGACTCGAACAAAAAAAAATATGATATTTTGAAGATACTAAATTGATTATCTTCGAAACAGATCTTATTGCATAGCAGTTTCTTACTTAACAAATCAATATGAAGGGGTCATTTAAGGTTACTGTCTAAAAAAATACCAAGAAATTTTATAGATTCAACGATACTGATCTGCTTTTATTGGCTATTATTAAGAAGCAAGGTTGAAAAGCTCCTTTATATGATAATGCTACTGCCTTATCCACGTTAAAAGAGATTAAATTAGAGTCGGACCAGGTTTTTATTGTAAGTAGATCAGAAGTTATAGTTGCATGAAGAGTTGCAATATTAGAGTTGAAGAAAAGGAAAAATAGAGGAATAAGGAAGGAACTGTGACTGATTTTACCGGAACGTTTGAGATTCACATACAGTCCGGAGATCAAGCTGAAAGCTTAACGGAAGTAGTCGCCGAATCATCTACTAGTCGCGGTAAGAGAAGAAAAGTATTATCTCAAAAAGTAGGCCAATCATCAAAATATAACTCTTCCCGTTCAAAAGTTTCACATACGTATTCCTCTTCGCCAACAGAAAATACATTTTCCAAAAACGACCTAATTCAACTAAATGTTAGTGGGAAACAGCTTCTGAAGTGTTTTTTTTATATGTTGATAACACTATAATGCATAAAATAGTAAATTATACCTGAAATACGCTCAAGATAAGAATCGACTAAATTTCAGATTTTCTGTTTCTCAACTGCAAAAGTTTATAGGAATTTTAATACTTAGTGAGTATCATACACTTCCAGCTTGCGATATGTATTGGTCTGAGGACCTAGATGTGAAACTAGTGAGAAATGATATGAATCACTTTATATTCCGGAACATGAAAAAAATTCCATGTCTCCGACAACATTGAACTGAACAAAAATGATCAATTTTCCAAGTTATGTCCATTATTTGCCTTATGAATGAACGTTATGAACAATTTGGAATGTTTGCTCGCCATTTATTAATAGACGAACACATGGTTTCTCATTTTGGGCGACACTCCGTAAAGATGTTCATGAAGGAAAAACAGTACGGTTTAGTTTTAAAATATGGTGTTTGTGCAGTTTTGAGGGATATCTTTTTCAATTCATACCATATGGTGATGCCAAACCTGAGAGACAGAAAAATAAATTTACCCTAGATATATACGTTATTATACATGGACTCGTAGTGCTTAGACTTTCAGCATATCGGGTGTTTTTTGATAATTTCTTCTCCGCTCTGTTTCACATTCTTAAAGAAAAAGGTGTTCTCTTTACTTGCACTGTACATGTAATCGTATATCAGAATGTCCATTAGAGAGCAGTAAGGTAATTGAGAAGAAAAATAGGGGCGAGTTCGATCATGCGTTCGACAATGAGACAAAGAAAACAATAGTAAGGTGGAATGACAATTCCGTCGTTGCTGTAGCAAGTAATCATGCCACAGTC